TATGATGGTTAAGGGTGAAAGGGGCTACAAACGGAAACCTTTGAGAGCTTTTTCAATTTAAGTGATTTTATAGCATTTGTAAGTCACCCATACGTTTTCCTTTCCAGGCACTCATGCAAGTGACTTTACAGGATTGGACTCACTCAGCACTGTCAACAGTCTATGAATTACAAAGTGTCAATACACCTTTATTACAATGTATCCTATTATAGGTACACTGTAAAAATATTTTTCAAATAAAAATGCTAAGTTTAGTTGAACATAATACTTTCTTTTGCGAATTACGATAAGAAGCCTCGTAAAATTTCATTTAGGAATCAGTGAGTCAGTGAGTCAATCAGCAGCCATCTTGGATGAAAACTAAGTAGTTTTGACACTCATCCAAGATGGCTGCCCGTAACGCAAAGCGCTCGATCTCAATGATCTTACGGAAAAATAGGGGACTGTGAAGAGTCTAAAGTATACAAAAGGGTAGGAAAATCTGTTCTTTCGGTCTGTAAAAAGGCCCAGACTGAAATGGCTGACAGGAGCAACTTTTGGCTGTCGAGAAAACATTCTGGTTTTGTGATTTATTCTTATTTTGAAGACGGTGCATTTACATCAGTTAAGATTATGCAAAGTTCTAACCCAAATATGTGAAAGGGGTACCATTTCTCAAAAGAGGGTAAACGAAAGGGGTAACTTTTTTGTCATCGGGTATATAAAAGGGTAAGGGGTTGAAACTCAGGATGGAGAGCCCCCTAGCTACAACTTTATTGAGTACCCCCCGAGGGATAACTCCTTGAACCCCCCTTGAAACCTTTCCACTTTGGTAGGTATAATGTATCGGTGTCTTGCACCTTTTCCGCACGGATCAAAGTAAGCTATAATTTATTCGCCGTTTGTTAAAGAGTAACACTTTATTCGATTGTCATGGTTCGATCCAGGTCGGTTAACCGAAACTATGCAAAATCAATGAAAAAATTTTAAGATTCCATAGTCAGATGAAACAACATAAATGTATTGGTACAGTCAAACTGTTAAAAATACGGTTCGTGGGAGAAGTTCCAAGGCTTGGATTTCGATAGACTTCTTTATGTTGTATGTTTTGTTTTCCCACACAGGTCTTGTGATAAAACTCAAGAGGACCGTTTCTTTCAAATGTCTTCTTATTCACGTGCGTATGTACGCATAATTTACGAAAAGACAAAGGGTCAAGTTCCCCTGGGAACTCTATTGGGAAACCAAAACATACAAGCTAAAGGGGTCTATTGGACCATTCCTCGAAGCACAAGAAGGTACAAAATGTCACAATTGATAATCAAGGGTTTTTCAGTTAAACGTAATTACAATAAAAGAGTCATTCTATCAGCAGGTAAGAGACGTTAGTTATCAAGAGAGACATAAGAACAGCTCGTTAGAACAACCGACAGATAAATTTGTCGGCCATGTACTGAGCAAAATAAGCTTCTCACACAAGCTTTTAGCCACATTTACAACAAACCTCCTAAAACGAAGGTACGACTTAATATCGGAATAACACCGAAACATTGGTCAACAGACCTCCAACCAAGCTTTACAGCCTGTTAATCTACAGTGAGTGAGATAGGAAAAATAAAATCTCTGGGAAAGAACTCGTGGTGAATTTTACTATGCCATTGAATGGCGGAGAGAGACTTGTATATTGTTGAATATCGAATATTCAAACTTCTGGGGAAGGAATAAGGAGTGGCCTATGGAAACCACTGTCTTGTCAGAATAAAGTGAAGTAGTTAAAAACTGTTTCACGCAGTTGAATCAAGATTCAGACATGCGAGACCGGCCAACAAATCGATCAGTGTAGTACAAAATCTGCCGCTAGATAAAACAGTGAAGGAAAATGTAACTAACGCGGGAATCACGGAAAACGCTGACTCGGATTGGGACTAAAGTGGCCAAAATTTCAGTGGATTGTAGTTGGACCTTTGAAAAGTGTTCAGTCAAACAGCTTTTCAAAGTTTATCAATGCATAGCTCTTTTTAACTTTGAACCAAGTTTGCTTTAAATAACAAGACATTAACGTTATCGAGACTCGATACATTTAGTTTTCGAATCTTGGCCAATAAATATGATTACCTATCAGGTGAACTATCATAATATAACAATAAAATATAATACATAACTAAAAACTAGTAATGATATACTTTAAAGAAAAAATATCGCATCCTGTTTTTTAAATGGAGTGGGAAAAATGACGGCCAAACATGGTAAGTTTCTGCTGGTGAAGAGACCTTCAAAAAGAAGGACCAGGAATGCTATATTCCGGCCTCGCGAGCTAAACACATTAAAATACGGTAAATGGAATCTAACTAAAAGAAAAGCTTGAAAGGTTCCCGAAAAGAGAAAGGGCAATTGAACATAATTCTATTTTCAAAACGTATCGGCCCACACAAATAAAACTGGTAACAATTGACTATTTCACGCTTCGAAATTAAGTCAGCAATTAGGCTTAGATGCGAAGATAATAGCCAATTGAAGAAAGAGATCTTTCCTGAAAAATTAGTATGAAATCCTCTGGATTTCAAAATTTTTCTGGTGGGCACACCCCAAAGGCCTCTCTTGCGGCTCACGCCCGTTCGGCGACGGCAGATCTTGCCTACCTTATGTCGAAAGTCTGGTTACGGCCCTGTAACTTAGCTGCATGGAAGCCGGTATCCCTCTCGATACCTGAACTGAACTGGATTTTGAACTTTTCGGAACTTTCGACTCCCGTCGGACCGTGACGGTACGGAAAGCGTAAGAACCACCTGCTGGGCGGAAAAACCGATCGAATCTTTGATCTTTTATCGGAAGTGAAAAGGACAAACTTTCGCAAGAAAATGTCATTCGGATCAGTCATTCGTAATTATTTTCTAGAATAACTGACATGAATTTCATAAATGTGATGAGATATTCGAGACGCCACTGATCCGTGATATTTTTGTGTTTGTTAACTCTCCCACTTCAAATCGCAGTCCGGCCACCTGCAGCCGGGCCGTAAAAAAACAGGTTTCAATAAACACGGGAGTGCAAAAAAATGGGCAAATTCCTGGCATTTTCATCGCTAGATTTACCCTTCCATAACATCAAATCTTACCTTGAAAAATTCAAATTATTCAATAAGAAAAACGAACTTTAAATCTGTCACTCCCAGTGGCCACTAAAACGAAAGATTCCGAACTTCATATTGCAAAAAGAATTAAACAATAAACATTACTATGGTTAAGTATTATTTGACAGTTGTCATTCCGTCAGTGGGCACGCGTAATATGTTTTTGGACGATCACTATGAAGCTAAGAATAGCTTGACTAATGGAAATTAGGAATTTACTGAATAAAGAGGCGATAAATGTGAGAATAAAATCTAATAGGCCGTCGTGGTTATAGAAGGCAGCTGGCAGCCATAAGCTACATGCTCGAGGACCCGCTGTTTTAGTTCACTGACTTGCTGCCGCAGTGCATTGGCTACGGCATTAAGTTCAATATTTTTATCTTTTAACTGTTGCACTCTTACTTCAAGCTGAGCTTCTCTTTCAAGCTTTTTCTTTCTACACTTTGACGCAGCTACTCTATTTTTCTGTTTCTTGCGTTCCCTCTTGACGATCTCCTGAAGTTCTAGATCGATGGGAGGTAACGGTAGAATGTTCCCTTGCGGTTTCAACGTCTCTTCGTAGTCAAAATTCCCGGACTCCCCCATGGGGCCATTGCAGGACACTGGTGGCGTATTCGACTCGTGATTTTCAAACGCTGCTACCCCGGCAAAACCGGGATTTCTCATCTCATAGGAAGTCTCGTTAAGCGCAACTTGACTGTGAAAGTTATTATGAGTGTTATCCTGTTCGACCCAGCCATTATTGACACCAGAAGAAGCGGGTATCGCATTCTGCTTATGAAAATGTTCGACTGGTTGTTGTCGGTCGTGTATTTGCTGAAGAGCTTCAGCGAAACCCTGGACATAAGCCTCGTGTTGCTGTTTTACTGTATTACTACCTTCGCGTACAGCTTTCGTACAAGTCGGTGACTTGGGATTCTGAACGCTGGCCAGAATTTTCTCAAACTCTGGTGAAATCAGATTAAACAGAGTGAATTCCGGTGAATTAAGAGTCCCTGGATTTCCTTTTGGCGTTAGCCCAGTGTTGCTCGCAATAAACTTCTCCAACTCAGGAGAAACCATCTTAAAAAGCGTCAACTCGGGTGAATTCTCAGCGTAAATGCCCAGTTTGCCGTTTCCCCTGAGATCTTGAACCACCGAAGGCAGTTGGGTTCCGTCCAAGTTCAGCCTTAGTGAGTTCTTATCATATCGCGAGAGATTGTTCACCGGTACGGAGGTTTGTTCGTAAAACAAGACATCCATGTTGTCGCAGCTTCCTAAAACGTGCTCACCCATTCTAGGAATTCTTTGGCCGTGTCTTTATGTGTTAGATAATCTGAAATAAACGTAACTCTTCGCCAACAGAAGCCGCTATGGTCGACCATCATCTAATTTTTCTGAAATTAAGTCACCCTTCCTACCAAAACATCACGTCACCTGGCAAGCCGCTCATTGGTCCGCAAAGTTTTCGCGCCAAAAAATCTAACGGTTGACGCGGGATAACTTTTTCAACAGACGCGACAGAAAAACTTACATTCACGGGTCTTCAATGTTTCACTTTAAAAAAGTAGGAGGTTGGAAGTTAAAGGCGCACTTTTAAAGCCTTATATTGTTTGTGATGATTATCCCGGCTGATAAACACGGAGTAACATACCGAGTGTTTCACTTGTGTCCACCTGTAGGGCACCCGCTAAAGGGTCAAAAGACACAGGAAACATACCAGGGTCTAACAGTATATTGGTAACAAACCATGCGATAATAATCATGTTTTCTCGGTGTCACACCGAGCAGAAACTAAAACAACGACAAGCAAATAATAGCAAACCTGGTGTTTATAGTAAACTTAATTTGCCAGGTTTGTTAATACGTTTGTGAACTTCACCACCAACCAGGGTCTCCAAGACAAAATTTAGCTATCTATCGGTTACTAACCAACAAGCAACTTTAATAACAAAACCCACCCTAGCATAGAAAACAAATTCAAAGTTAAGTACATCGATTTTATTGGTTCATTTTATCTAACAAAACTATTTTTTTCAAATAATTTCACAACGCCAAAATTTGTTGAACGGTTCATTAATGATTTTTCTTTTTCGATCTTTCTTTCTTTCTTTTGGATGATTTATGTTTTTAGCTAAAGACTTACATCTTTGGTTTGACCAACCAAAAATCGTCAATATGAACAGATCCTACCTCATTTCATTAACAACACATATGTCCCTAGATATATTAGAAATATTTCCTTAAGTACTGTCGTATAAAATTTTTGCATCTCCGACCTAAAACTTCAGTCTGTCTTTCTGACAATGTTAACCCTTTAAGTCCCAAGAGAGATTAACAACAATTTTGCCCCAATAATATCAATACTTGCTCAGGAATTATGTTATGAAAGTTAATTAAACTAATAATCACCCAAAGGAAACCGCTTTGATATTCAAACAAATTCTCTCAGTAAATTATTTAAGAAAATGTATGCAGATCAGTCTGGAGAATTTGTATGTGGATACTGGGGCTTAAAGGGTTAAAATGATCAGTCGTCTCGGACGACAAATTCAAAGAGGTAATGTTATTCTGTTGATAAGAATCTACCACAAGTGAACTTATTGTCATTAAACAGCTCTATCTTCGTTCACAAATGTTTTGCATCTGTCACGCGAGAAGCACTCCTTCCAACATTTGTGCTTCTCGCCAGCGTTTCAAATCACAGCAATATATAAAAATAGCCCATTGCAACATTGAGAGATGCTAAAACATAAATTTCAATGTAAGATTAAAGAGTGCCGGGCAATACACCTCTTTACTTCATAATGGAGGCCTATTAATATGTTTTTTCATATGTATGATAATTAGCCTTTCTGATCTCGTTTGAAAGTAAGAATCTTTTGTATTTTGCACATGCTAACGAGGTCAGAAAGGCTAATTATTATACATATAAAAGAATATAAGAATATATTAATAAGTCGCCATTATGAAAGAGGTCTTTAGGCACTCGACAAAAAAAAGCTTACAGTTTACCCGAAAGAACACCTTGGTTCACTTTCCAGAAGTCGTTGATTATTATGATGACACCCAGTAAGCAGTAACATGACAGCCAAAAGGTTGTCATAGAAACTGCACAAGATGATTGACAGGTCTACAGGGGCTTTAGGCTATGTTCACACTATACCGGTAGCTTTTGCGTCGGCACGAAATCCATACCTGATAGGGCTTCTGTTCACACATAAGAACGGTGATTTCGGCGCGATTTCTGTAACGGAGCGAAGCTGCGCCGCGCTGATCTTTTACGCGGAGGGTCACATATCGGATAGGTGTTCACAGGGTAGCAGATAGCTTTTCGTGTCAGCACGAAAAGCAAACCGGATAAGGTGAACATAGCCTTAAGGGCTAAACAGTGTTGTTCTATACTTTGTTTGTTTTACAGGTGAATATTAATTCCCCGTAAGATTACTTTCCGCAATACCTCCAACACACGGTGGTTTACCTTTGGACGCCTTTGAGAGTAGCTGACGATACAAAGAAACTGAACCACTTGAGAAATCTTTGCTACATATAGTAATACATGGCAGGAATTAAGCTTCCACTAAATCCTTGGACATTTTTTTATAAGGTCATCAATTTTTTGCGCATGGCCCGGGAGACAATTTTACGCTGGCACTTGTTGCTCGTTTTGCAGCACATTGAACCAGTTGCATAAGCTTACATTGGTTTTTCATACGTCAGTAGCAGCCAACGAGACCGGGTCGATAACCGATCTTAGTTATCCTCTCAAAACAACCTTTCCATTACTCAAACGAAGACCACTATCCCCTCACTAAACGACGTTAATTTTGATCGGCGGCGAAAACGTCCATGTCTTCTTTAACGAAGCATAGGGGCTGTCATTCGCTAGGTTTACCATATTTGATTCCAAATAACGAGTTCGCTCCATTACATTAGATACTGAGTCTTTTGAATCCGCTTGTTCGTCAATGATTCGAGTACAAGAAATAGAAACCATATACTGCCCAGCATACAAGAACACCAATGAACACGAGTGACATAGAGAAGATCCTGGCGATAACTAAGGATAAGGAAATACAGCCAAGCGTTGGTCAGTTGCGTTGAATGATACCGTAAACTGCCTTTTTTTCCGCCTCGCGACTTATAACACCCAACCACCTTCCCCCCGCCCCACCCAACCCAAAATCAATTTTAGGCCAATCTACCTGGAAACAAAAAAAAATTACCCATGATGCAAATGACATTTATTTGGCAGGCTTGACAAATTCTAGCACTTATGGGACCCTCTGGTGAAGAGAATGCGTATTGGGAAAAACAGGCGGACGGTATAGTTTGCATTTAACAGGGGCGGATCTAGGGGGAGGGTGCAGGGGGTGCGCACCCCCCCCCCCCTTCACAAGATGACCTGCGGTTTTCTAATACAACTGGTATTCTGCAAAAAAAAAACTATGTGGTTTATTGGTGTTGAAGTAGAACAAGAGACGAGTGCACCCCCTCCTAAAAAAAATCCTGGATCCGCCCCTGATTTAAGCAGGTCTATCATTCGACCGGCAAACTTCTAAACACAGCAAGTACATACGATAATAGACCCCATCACCCCAAGATACAAGCCCCCTCCAAATGTACTGAAATGAAATATATTTATTATGACGTTTTGTAGCTTGATTAAAAACTAGTAAATGCAAAAACATATAATTATTTTAGCCAGCACTACTATAGCTTGCTTCGGAGAGCTTTTTCTATTCCGGTTATATGCCCCCTTCGGATATAAGCTCTTCCAAAAACCCTTACGAACATGTTTAAGCCAAGGGTTTATAAGAAACAGTTTACGGTAGTAGGGAACCCTTCTCTGAGAACGCCAGCCTAAAATTTTAGTAGTTAGGGGTAAAAGATTGGGGCAATAAAACGTGCAACTTGTTTTGTAACGTCACTGCAAAACGAGTTGAAAAGAGGTTTTGCGGGTTTTACCACCACGAATTAAGTTGTAGCACGTTACAAAAAGTTGTTGCAGAAAGTAGAGAGTAGTTGTACTTTTCGCAAAACCCCTGTACGAATGTTGCAAAACAAGTTGAACCTTTTGTTGGTTGTTTTATTGTGGCTAAAGCCAGAAAGACTGCAACAGATGTAAAAAGAATTAAATCTGTACCTCGGACGTGTGGAGCTGTAACGTCCCAATCCAGCTCAATTTTCCATCCAGCTCGGTCACTGGAAAGCCAGAGGCTTGGTCCTGATATGGCTCAATGGTAAGCAACAACGGTCCAAGTGACTCATCTGCGTGATAACAGAGTAGAAAACAAACAGGATAGGTCATTAAAACCTTCCACACCTAACCATGAGCCTGTAAGCAAGCTCTGCGGAGCGCTCCCGTACAACCTCATATGTCGTCCTCACAATCAAACCGGGAGGGGGAGGGGCGTGAGGGGGTATTTGGAGCCCCACTCAGGAAAAAGGAAAACGATTTCAAAACCGTTCAAGCTATGACTACCAAACATAGCGACTTTTCCTAAAAAATTATGTGAGAATATTTTAAAGTCACTGTGACGTGTACGTTAACATTGACGTTACCATAGCAACCGAGTTTGACAGCCAAGTTTTTTCAAAATGTTTCAGTCCTGTAAAATACGTTGGCTTTCTGCATTATTATATTACACTTCATTTAGTATTATTTCTTTAGCTTTATGATAACTGCTTTTGTAATACAGGCTATCTAAAGTGACTAATTTGGAAAAACTATGGATTAGGCACGCGTTATGGATCACAAGTACCTAAAAAAATATGCGCAAATCCTAAGAAAATTAATTCTACAGCTTATAACTCACCGCTTTTATTAGAGACTAGAACACTGAGATCCACAATACTGCACAAAGAACTCGTCACTTCGTTTGGCGATGTGTTGTTGTATTCTTGTCCGTTTATTTTTACATCTTAAAAAGATGAGAAGAAAAAAGAGGAGACTGCCTTTCAAAGGTCATGTCGCTACATGGCAACCCAACGCAACAACCTCTCGGTTGCTAGAATAGATTTAAATGCGCTTGACCTTCAGCGAAGGGAAGCCGTCAATGATATATGACATAACTGATATTTATTTGGCAGCCTTGACAAATTGTTGCAATTGTGGGACCCTCTGGCCAATGCGCATGCGTATTGGGAAACACAAGTGGATGGTGTAGTATGCATTTACGCAGGTCTATGGTTCGACCAGCTAACTTCTAAACACAATTACTTTCTGACAAAAAAAAGGGAAAAAATGAAACTATAAAGAACAAAACAAAAGAAATTTTTAACAAGTTGCATAC